CAAGATGGGTGGGTTATCTCGGCCGCGACATGTCCACCCGGGCCACTTCTAGTGGGTGCACTAGAAGAGAGAGGCGAGCTAGTCTTACTGTGAGGGACTCGGAGAGTGAGAATGCAACCTGGCGAGCCTGTAAGGCGGGTATCGTCGTGGGTAGGTCCATAGCACGCGAGAGACAGTCGGTCTGAGAATCGACCGTTGAGGCGTTGGAAGGAATGGAAGGAAAAGAACGTTCGGAAGCAAGGGACAGGCGGTCCAGCGCAAGCGAGCAGACGAGCTGCAAACCCCATGGAGTCCGCCGGGCCTGAGCTCTGTCCGAGATGACCCGTTGAGAATTGCTGAGCCAGACAGACGAGATCGGACAGCCGGCTGGAAGCTCCCAGGCGGAAGAAAAAAAAGAAGAGACAATGAACATGCACCCGTGGTGCTGGAATTCATCGCATCTTTCGAGGCCCCCCACTGAGGGTTCCCACGTCAAATTACCGTCTGCCGGTATCAGGCTGGTCTTGGACTGGAGGCCGACAGCACATGGGCCGATGTATGGGTGGAAAAGCGCCCCAACTGAGAAGAAACAGAGACCCTCTTCTCTCATCCTGATGCCTGGATGGATGCTGACCCGTTGCCGCCAAGCATTTGCGATGGGGCCTTGCAACTCGTATCACGTTGCGTGGTGATCTACCACTGCGGCAAACACATTGTTGCCATTTTGTCAACTCTGCTCATCGAACACTGTGTGCTACCCCTACGGCCAGTGACTGACTTTTGTGGTCTGACTCCGATCGCCGTCCGGAAATCGTCGCGCATCGCCAGCCACTAGCGACTCTATGTGCTTGCAGTCGTCCCGAAACGAACCACCATGCGGTGGCAGGGCTCTGCTATGGCATAGTGAAGCACGCAAGCCGTCAGGAGCGTTTGGGTCATGGCCCTGCAAAAAAACAAAAAAACATTGATAAGCTTGTCTCGTCCCCAATGGCTCGAGATGGTGCGCATCCGCAATCACCAGCTCTAAATGACAGCTCTCGTCCAGTGACAGGCCAAGCAAGGCCTTGGGGCTCACGGACCCGAGCCGCTGAGCGAATGGCCTTATCCCAGTCTCGACGTTGTCTGTCGCAGCACATCAGACGAACATCAGGGGGTTGCCCGTTCTCGCGGCCGTGACTGGCCCAAAGAGCCTAGAGTCCGGCAAACCTGCGACGAGACGGAGGAAGAGCAGCAGGCCTGACCCTTAAAGTCACTGACGCGCCTCGGGTTTGAGGATGTTTCTCGGACGGCCATGACGGCTGCAGGGAGCGAAGAAACATCTCTTCTATCGCGTGCAGTCGCTGCAAGGGCGAGACCTGCAGGCATCGAGGAAACATTGAGCCAACGGCGCTGCACGCTCACCCTGCTGCGGACGCATCTCATCGTTCCCAGTAGAGGCGGACAGAACCGGGGGTGTTGAGCAAAGCTGCGATGCCCAGATGGAGACGATACAAATGTCGGTCTGGGGCAGGAAAGGGGGAGGGGGAAGTAGAAAAAAAAAAACCAGGAAAAAAAAAAACCCCCTGTATGTGGCAGATGGCGGAGAAAAGAACGGGAATCTGCCCGTCAAGAGCTCGTTTTCACGATGTGATTCGTGCATCCCGTAGGGCCTCTGCCGAGCCGGCGTGGTGTCACTTTGGCGATGCAACGCTCCGTGCCTCGCACTCGTCCAGTGGCATCTCGACATGCTCCTCGCTCCTGTGAGACATGCTGATATGGCTCTTCCCTTTCCTCGCACTTGCATCGCCATCGCTGCACGGTGCAGCAGGTACCGGGCCCAGATTGCGACCAGAAACCCCTTGGGTCGAGCATGCCACGGCGGCTTCCAGTGCGCGCGACGAGGACATTCCGCGTGCCCTTGAAAGTTTCCCATCAGCTTCACATTGTTTCGAGGCCACACGACGGTGCGGGGCGGCCAAGCGCCGTCGAGCTGCTGCGTGCCCACGAAGAATTACATTGTAGTCGCGGCTCGATATTAGCTCTCGCGCGCCATTCCCAGAAGAGGAGGATCGAGACATGGTTAAATCGCGATTGCCTCCATCCACCCGGCCCCTTCATGTTAGCGAACAGATTGATCTTGATTGCGTCCGATTAAATCACGTCGCCATCGTCGTCTCCCTTCATTTAAAACAAAGTTACTCGTCCCCAGGACGCCCGGTGTGCCCGGAGACCATGGCCCTGGGCGATTAGGCCAAGGCCACTCGACCGTTCGGACCACGGGTTCGCGATGCTTCTTTTGTCTGTCACACATGCGTACATGCAGACGTATCGCGGATTGCCAAGGGCGGATGTGGCTAGGTGCACCTCCCAGGCTTCTCCATGGCGGCCAGCACCTTGCGGAGCCTGGGGCCAAGACATGTTCCGCCATGAGACCGAAACATTGGATTTCGTTTGTCTCCCTTCTCGCTTCCTCGAGGTCGACACTGCATCTACGCTCTCTCCCTTTGGGTTCCAGCGGCGGGAGTAGGACCATCCGTCGGGTCGCATGGGGATCGCAATGGACGTTTTCATGCGGGCGGGAAAATAAAAAAGGCCCCTTACGCAGAGAGGACGAAGCATCGTTAGGCTCCGACGGCCGTTTCTGGCGGTCCGACAGAGGGCGGCTGCCGGCGGCCCCAAGACAGGCAAAGAGGCGTCGGGTCCAATCAGCCGTCTCGTGGCCCTACTGGAGGACGAGAGGCGCCTCCAATCACGCAGGTGATGGATGGAAAGGCGCAGACGCTTGCGTTCTCGTCGACCACTCTTGGGCCTGGATAACGCTTTTCCTTGGTCGTCGTCGTCGAATCACGACAAAATGGTGTCCCTTTGGACAGCGAAGCCCACCCCTGCCCACCGCCTCGTCTCGCCTGGTGGTGTGGAGTTTGCTGCTGTCGTCGTGTGTGTGACCAACCCACCGACCGACAGCGAGCGACAAGATGTGTGGAGTCTTTGCCGCCAGGAAACGTCGACAAGCAGGGAAAACGAACGAGGCTCATGGATGACGAAGAATCCCTCAGCTGGCGGTCAACGTGGCCAGCGGTGGCTACGAGAAGGGTCATGGCGATGTCTGGCGATGGGGGGGGGGGGGGGGGGGGGGGGGGGGGGGGGGGGGGGGGGGGGGGGGGGGGAGGGTGGTGGAGGGCACAGTGAGATGCCGGCCACCGAGGGTCATGGAAGGGTGAGCGGCATCCCGTCCGGTTCATTTCATTCATGGTTGAGCACCTCGGATGACAAAATGAGCTGAGGTGCCGACTATGAGACTGGGCAAAGCTTCCACAATTCGTTCCTCACTCCAATCCATGGCGACGATACAAGACTATCACGAGGACCATGGTGTGTCCTGTTCGCTTGCGTCCTCGCCGGTATCCAAAGCCTCGCTCACTCCGGCAGCCATGCAGAGAGCTTGCTAAGAGCGCCATAGTCCATGGAGCTTACAGCCTAATGGAGACATTGGGGAGTGGCCAGGGCGTGGCAGACGTATTGCAGGTAGACGGCCATCATTAATGGTATCTTTTACATGAAACAGCACACTTTAGAGGTGGTGGTGGGAGGATCGCAGGCTGAGGATGGGTTGAGATGGCTTGAAAGCGCCGCCCTGGCCTGAAGGACGAATTAGAGTGTGGGGCCGTAGGCAGAGTGTGCAGTCAGTGATGAAGGGGCATGGCGTAGGAGATGTGCCAGGTCTGGGTAGTGTCTGTGATGCAAAAGCGTCGTGGTGGGTGTGTAGTGTATGGTATCTGGCGTTTGCCGTGTATTTGGTGCCTCATCCGTATTGGGACAGGACTAGGAGGCGTCTCGGGCGCCTTCCCATGCCTCCATCGTGTGTTAGGATGTGGATGAGACTCGCGCGCGCTGGAGAGAGCGAGAGAAAGAGAGAGAGAGAGAGAGAGAGAGAGAGAGAGAGAGAGAGAGAGAGAGAGAGAGAGAGAAAAGGAGAAAATCCGTTGGCCAGCATTGCCCGTTCTACGAAGGTTCCCTTTTTTTTTTCTTTCTCTCTCTTTCGCTTAGCACCCCCGGACCCAGACAATGGATGGTGGAAGGTATTCGAGGAGACACCGACAGCAAGAGAAAGAGAGAGGATGTGGAGAGACTCAGACTCAAAGCTAAAAAAGACTGACTTGATTGACTGGCTTACATTCGACTGACAGAGAGAAAGAAAGCCAGGATTGGGGGGGGGGAGTGTGGAACTGAGGACCAAGAGGTACGTACCTCATCTTGCAGAGTGAACCCAAGAGTGGGAAGGGACTAGTGGGGTGGGCTTGGCTCCCAGCCCCTGCCTCCAGAGCGTCTTGTCTACTGTGTCAATTGAGAGGCTCGACACTGGGTCCCCGTACCTAGGTGGATCCGCTCAGGACAAGGGCCTGACCAGGATCGGGACTAGGGGGGCAGGGGGCATGGACCAGGTGCAGGAGCAGGAGTAGGTGCAAAGTGCAGGAGCAGCTCGTGCTGTGGCTGTCCACCACATCCTGACTTTGTCAATCTGGCGGCTTGCAGTACCATCTGCGCAGAACATGGCCCTTGCTCATGCTCTCTCTCTCACACACTCACACACACTCTCTCTGTGTCTCCGTCTCTCTTCTTTGCTCCCTCTTACTCTATCGTTCTCTCAACTCCCACCCCTCCCCCCTACAATGTGACCTATTTACACATATGGAGCCCCCAAACCCCCATCCCATCCCATACCCCCCGTCTCTTTATGTACGGCCACTACCCGAACCGACATATCCCAACCTGTCCCCGACCCATCTCTGACCCTGACCGACTCGTCCATTAAAATATCTTGCATGCCCTCCTACCTCACACCTCTAGGTGCTTCCTACTCTTGCTCTCTCTCCATCATCCCTTTGAATAACTTTTGTGTTTGTCCAAGTCGACAACGAGTCTGGACACTTACACACACATACCCACCCAACTCTCCGCTGTAGACCAGCTGCCCTGCGCGACTGAAACCGCCCAGTCTTGGATTTCCTCGAGGGAGATCGCGAATACCGTCACCACCCACCATGTCTCTGGCCGGCCAGTCTATACCCGTCAGGGAGTCGGTACATTCCACAACCCGCCTGGACGGTGTTACCTCCACCACGGACCAACACCAAACACAAAGGGCCTCTTATAGAGATTCGCTCCCCAACGCACCACGCCCACCCGTCTACAACGACGACGCCTTTAACGAGAACGAGACGGCAAAGATGTACGGCGACTACTACGCAGAAATGACGGGCCCTTCTCCCAAGAAGGACCAGTCCGCACAACAAAAACCTCCCGCCCTGCCCGCCAAGAGCTCACTGAGGGCCTCGAGACTCCTCGACGGCATGCCCCTCAAGATTATCACCAACCAACCTCCACAGGCTGCTCCCCAAGAGATTTACCTCTCCTCGGAAGAGGAGGCTTCCTCCTCTGCCGACGAGTTTTCAGACTACGACTACGAGTCGGAGAGCGCAGAGTCGGCCGACTCGCCTGTCCGCAAGAGCCACGAGGACACGGCACGCGTAGTATCTGTCGTCTACGCCGGAAAGCCTTCTATTATCGACCTCCCCTCCACGAGAAGATCAGCAACCCCCGAGTCGATCGATTCCCAGCCCCTAAGCCGCCTCGACACCTCATCAACAGCGCCCCCGTTGCGGAGAATGTCGACATCGTCCACCTGCGCTGCTTCCTCGTACTCTCCCGTCTACTACCCGCCCCGGTCCAGCAGCATGATGATCACCAGCAGCATGCTTCCCAAGGAGAAGCCTGCGTTTCTGAGCATCGACCCTTACGCCAGCAAGTCGTTTGACGAGCGGGCGGAGCAGCAGCAGCAGGCCGAGGGTGAGCGGTCCGAGAGGCCCAGGACCCCAACCTCGCAGCTCTTCAAGAGGACGCTCAGCATCGTCCGCAAGCGCAGCCGCCCCCAGCTCAAGGAGATCGCCGCCAACAACTCTTCGCGGGACCGCCTGTCCTCGCCGTCGCTGGGCCACCTACCGTTGTCTGCCAACCCGGACATCAAGGAAGAGTCGGACAAGGGCCCCAACAGCCCCTGGGCCGCCGTCAGCTACCACGATATTATGCGGGCGGCCAGGAAGAACGCGCAGAACGCGCCCCCAACCCCATCCACCCCTGTTGCGCCGTCGCCCAGCTCGCCGGCCGGCAACACGAGGAGTCGACTCCTCAGCGGCCTCACCAACCGGAGAAAGAGCATGAGAGTGGGCTAGTCGCCGCGCACCAACCAAACAAAAAAAGCAGAAAACAAACATAAAAAACACAGGTCCACCGACACACGGCGGGACTCTTTGCTTGAAACACACTTTTGCATTCGGACTGGGGATTTGCTTTGCATGCACGGCGCACCAACGGGAACCGGAACTGGATCACGGCGTTTCACACGGACCCTCGGACATGGGCAGCAATGACTGCCACGGGGCTCGGCCAACAGTCGTTTCTTTCTTCTTCTCTCTCCCCCCCATCCCTCTCTTTCCTTATTGCCACAGGGGCAGGGTTTTCACGACGTAACGAATTTCCTTTGAGTGTACAAACGGATTGAGTAATGTGTAGAGCAGTGGAGGGACGGAAGCAGACAAGAGATAGGCCGGGCACGATTGATTGCCGCGGCATGTACCAAAAAGGGACGGCGCTCTTGGAGATCGCACGGCCGACTTGGCCCCCCCTGCGAGACATTGGGGGTGGGCGCTGGGCTAGTTAGAAGATCAATCAATGATACCAACAAGTTCAATTTGTTCACACAGTTTGGCTCCAGATCGTCCAGCCTGCTCTTGTGACATGTATGTTTTCTTGCTGTTGAATGGCCTTTGGTGTAACAAGCCGTGGGCATTGTCCTTGTGCAGTTTGGCTCATTTGATGGTCCCCCTACCCACACCGCACCCCTCTTCCCAAGGTCTCGACGACGTCAGTCCTTTGCTCCATGGAGCCAACGGCGACTTTGCACTTGGTGCCGCATCCGCATTGCGTCCGCGGTCCTGCTGGTCTAGACTGGGCCACGAGGGACGGAAATATCGCTGGTAGGGACCCCTCACATAGCACCACCCCCAATCTACTCTAGACGACCCGGCTGTGGCGAGCAGCGACGACTTGGTCGTCGTAGTAGATTTGGGGTCGGCATCGGGGCCTGCTTAATTTTTTTTGTTTCTATTTTTTTGGTCCTTTCGTCAACAATGGGACCATGGCACTCTCTTGAAGTTGCAGTCGCGCAGGGAGTGTGACGCCACCGCACGCCGGCTTTCCCCTCACCTGCGGTTCTGGTCCCTGCGTCCAGATGCCTTTTTTTTTTTTTTTTGGGTTCTAAATCCGGGATGCCATATAGGGTCCTGTCGGTCGGGATGTTGTGTCACCCAAGGTGCAATTCCCCCCAAAATCCGCCTTGATATTTTGTCCATGGTCTATATGCGTGTTATATGGGTGATGGATGTCGTGCTCCCCCACCCCCCACCATCCATCTATCCGCCCTGTCCAGAGTGTCGGACAGAGAGTGCGGCTGTTCTATTCAAGAGTCGAGCCAGAGTTCGAAATCAGGGAATTGGATTCATTCGGCCGTTTATTTTCTTCTCCCAGTTCTTGCCGACACTGGCCCCCAAATGGACAATCGACAAAACCCCCCAATTCGACACTGATGGCGGACGCGGGGGGGGGGGGGGGGGGGGCCAAGATGGACTGTGGTTGATGATCGACCGGGATGTCGGTTCTAAAATAGTTGCGTCGTGAGGCTGCTACTACGCAGTACCTTTTTCCTCCCCTGGTACCGGAAAGCGGGTCCTCCTCTTCTTCGCCCAACCAATGGGCTCTCCCATCGTGGCCAGGCACGCCAGGTCGAAGCCGGGGGGCGGAAGTCTGTCAACCTTGGTTGGCTCCATGATGCGCCGCCACCGCAGCGCAGCGCTCTGCCCAGAGTGAGTGAGATGGAGTGGGAGGAGGGCAACCAGCCTCCTTTCGCGGACCTGCATTGCGGCCCTGCATCTCGAATATACTCGCAGAGTGACGCAGAGCAACGCCGGGCTGCCAGGGCCGTGTAGCGGCCGTCTTCTCTGAGGGGGGGAGGCGGAGGGGAGGGGGCGAAGACGACGCATTTGGGGTCGGCCTGAACAAGTTTTTTTTTGGAATCGTTTGAATCCTTGGAATCGAATGTGGAAAACACACGTCGTCGTCGTCGTCGCCGTCGTCGCCCGCCTCACGCAAGGGACACAATCCCCACAGTCCCCGTGATTCCACCCACCGCCGTTATCCGCGCGAGGCGCTGCCATCTCCGCTTAGCTGCAGCTTTTCCCCAAATGCAGCTTGGCTAACGAATTTTCTTTCCTTTTTCGGGGCGGTTTCTTTTAATTTTTTATTTTATTTTTACCTCCCGTCTTTTCCCCATTCCGGGTTCTGTCTTTCAACGACATCACCCCTTCCCGACCATGACGCACGTTCCAATAAAGGGCCGGAGAAGGATGCGATGAGACGGTTTTACGGCATAAAAGACCAAGCACCACGATCCCTTGCAGAACGTCCGCTCGTCATGTGCAGCGAATGGCGGCACCAGAGGTGGTCAGAGAGGAGCGATGTGTGTGTGTGTGTGTGTGGCAGTTATCAGGTGCCTGGTGTGTGCGCGCGCCAATGAGGGATGGAAAACCTGCTTTGTGGTGGTTGGTTGGTGGGTAGGGTACGGGCGGTCTGTGGGCGCAGACACAACACCCAGATCGATATCGCAGTCGTCATTCGTCGTTCGCAAGGGAGATCAGAACGGAGTTCAATTCGGGCTCCCTCCCGATCAACGGGTTGGCAGTCAGCAGGGAGCACGATTCGGCAATTGTTCTTGTCTCGATTCTGCATCATCCATCCATCCATCCCATCGACATCCCATCCCTTCGGGCTCGTCTAGCGCAACCAGTCTTTGGGATCGCCCGTCTTGCGCCTCTGTCGAGTATGATTGTGTGTGTATCACTGCATTCTCGCGATAATGCCCCCCGTTTTTGCGTACACATGCGGGTGCGCAGCTGCGGTGCGTGTGAAGTCACCTCGAATGCAACGCAACAGTGCGCGGTGGGGCAAGACTCGGTGATCTGTAAGCCATGAGACGCAACTACAGTACGACCTGATCCCGACGTCGGGCGCGTGGATGTGGATAGATGCTCGCGGACAGCACACAGCTCTGGAGAACAGCAATATGGATCAGACGCGCAGGTGGCAGGGTTTCGCATGTATTCTGTCGACAATGAGCTCCAATAGGGCTTACTATGCACCCAAGTCCGATATCGAAGGGGAGCTATGGACCAGCCGCAACAGAGACTGTGTTCGTCATCCCCGATCATCCCGGTAAGCATATTACACCGGCGCTAATGGGCTATGGTACTCCTTGGGCGACGACGGAGCGCGACGCGTCGGAGGAGAGGGGTGGGCGGCGGCGGCCAGCCGGCCGAATTCTTCCACACTAGGCGGCACGGGATGCGGGCCTTCCGTTGAACTATGTGGGCGGCGCACCCGGGACGACCGTGGCACAAAAAGGCAAAAGGCTCGTCAGCACTTCGGAACGAGAGCTTTCTTGACAGCAGTCTGAGCGATTCCGGGTCTTGACTGAGGCTGAGGTACCCACAACCACTTTGGAGGTTCCTGCACTGTACTCGGGTTCTGGGAACCGCGTGCTTAAAGAAGGCTGATTGTTTACAAACAATCGTCTATTCCAGACAGACGGTGCTGGTTTTGGGATTGCGTTTCGGCCCTTATGGGGGTTCGCACCTCGTACGAATATGCTTGAAAAGTTTTAGGGAAACCCCCTGAAGGCTGGTAGGGCTCTAATCTACACGAGGCCGACTTATGCGAAGGGGGGGTGCTGCTTGTTCGCTACCGCAGAGGGCGTATGACGGGGAGAAACAGCCGGGGAAGGCTGCACGCGCTGCGAGAGTTCAGTGCACTCCCGGATGCCCGAACATCCTCGAGACCGGCCGCTCGGCCAGGCGTCCCGATGCCCGCCGGAGTTGGCGGTGATCTACGGCCCCTTCTTTGTGTCTCATTTCCAGCAAGCCTTCAGGTGCACGATCGATACCCTCTGCGGCGGGGTTTCTGGTAATTTCGTCAGTGGCTGCTAGTACACAGGTCGTTCTGGAACAAAATCCCCAAAGGCCGGGACAGGTCCCAGGAATCCGCTTGTCTCGTCGCCCCGGGATCATGGTTGCTATGAGACGAACGCCGCGGGTTCAGCCACCCAGGACGACCCCAGCAGCGAATATCATACAGCTTGCCAAACTAGGTTTCTTGACTCTTGTCTCTGCTTGAGGATCCGGCTATCACGGCTTTGACAGCTGCGGGCGGCTTCCCACCAGAACCAAAATAGACTGAGACGAGTGACCGTCACGAACCTTCTTGTCCTGGCTGCGTTCGTTATTGCGTGGGGGACGGAACGGGCGACGATGGCAGCATCGACGATATTGGTGATGGAATTGGAGGACTGTGCGATTGGACGTTGATAGGCAGATGGGCGCACGTGTCAGGCGTGTCATACAAGGCTTGCCCATCTCATCATCAACCTCAAACGCCCTGGCCACCTTCCTTTGGAGGATCGCTGACGTGCAATCTGGGGAGTCCGATGGTGGGCTGGATTGCATAACGTCAGGTTCGTGTTCCTGTAATAACGATGCACAAAGTTGGCAGGCGCTGGCTGTGGCTCGCGATACGGATAGATTGCCGTGGGCTGCAGCATAAACTCAATTGACCTCGAAATCGCCAAGGGAAGCCACGAACCTTCCAGTCCCCCTCGCGATTTCCCGCCAGTCGGCCTACTCGCCGTTTCAACCACGGGCACGGCGGACGTTGCAAGACCATTCCCGGCTTCCACTATAACCCAACCCACTTCCCATCTTAACCATAGTGGGCGTGCTGTGATTAATCAATCTGAAGCACGCAGTCAATCAGCCTTGGGTCTCGGGGTCTTCCTGGCTCGAATCCGATCACGCGATGCCCGAAAGGGAAGCAGCTAGAACCTCGGACTGATTTGCCAGAAGAAACCCACGGGCTCTCGGACCGGTTCGCGCAATTTCCATCGCGCCCGGCCATCAACGCTAGCACTGTAGCACATATTGCAAAGTGTCATCGGTGCTGTTCTGCGTCGACGCCACGCAGCGTGGAAGAGCCTCAACGAGAGGGGTGGTGGGATGATTCGGCAACGCGGTCGACAGTAAGATTGCGACCTCATCTTGGCGTCGTGCGAGGTTGATTCCGATCCGCG